TTAGGACTGTTATTTCACATATCTGACAGGTGGGAAATGACCTGCCTGAAGACATGGGGTTGGAAAGATGGTATTTAAATGCCAACGAATGGTGTGCAATGTAGGATGGCTGTGTCTCCAGGAGAGGGTGGAGCAGATGCAAATCAGCATTAATCCAGTTTTAACAAATCATGCCGAAATGTGTGCTCTGAAGCACTGAAACTTTAATATCCCCTCCAAGGTGTGCTGTGTCCAGAGCTCTGTTATTTGCCTGATGTGAGTTGCTGTGGGGAAAGTCAGTACTGACTAGATGCTGGGTGAGAAAAGTGTTTCCTCTTCTATGGAAAGGCATTTCCTCTTCTAACACTGCTTAATTTCATTAGTTGTTCCCATTATAAGACAGCTGACAACTGTATAGCTCTGTAAAAGTAAAATATTTTGGTTTCATAAAAATACAACCTGGAAGCTTTATAAAACAGAAAAAAAAAATTAAGTCCATATGGTGTGATAAAATCTTTCATAATTAAGAAAAGGTTAGGATTTGTCAAAGTGAAGCAGAGCGTTAGGACCACAACTGTTACTGCAAAATTAGGAGAGGAGAGGGACCTTAACTACCGGAAGGGATTATCTTTTTTCCTGTAAACACAGAGAACTTAATTGCATTGAGTCTTTGCTTGCTTGTGCAATCAGAATCACAGCTAAGCTGGTGATGCGTTGAAATCAGTGTACCCCATCTCTTTGATTAATTTGTAATCCCAGTGTACAGACTGACTTACACAGGTGCCCTTTAACTAATCCTTACAGGAAAATCTCCTGAACTGTTGGGGTATCACCTTACTGACTGCCACCTTCCAGTAGCACCCTGTGAGATCCAGCTGGTCTGCTGGATGGAAGTTCTTGCCGTGGGCCTCAACAAGCAAAGAGAGGCAAAGGCTGTCTCAGAAGTTATTGGATAAAGGTGCTTGTAACTAAGTCTTCTAGGAGAGCCAGTTAACAGAAACTGCATTATATTGGTCAAGAAATGACGTGATTCTAGTATTTTTTATATACTTGGTGCTACATAAAATGAACCAAAGGTGTTTAGCCAGGTGTGATGTGTCTTCCAAAGTAACACCAAGAACATGACAGGTCTCCATCGCTATTGGTGTTATAGACTGCCTGGGCCATGCTGCGGGGAACTTTGTAGCAAATTTTACAGAAAACATGTAGGAAAATTATTTTGCTTTGACAAGCAGGCAAATGGCGAGAAAGAACTGGATGCATCCTCATTTCTAAACAGGAGGTGAATCCAAATGAATCACATTCCCTGTCGATGCAAGACATCTGCCCAAGCTAGGAAGTGAACTGGCAGGCCCGTAAGTTGGACAAAACCATACTACTACCTAGAGAAACATACTCTAAAGAGAACATATCAGCCTGCTTAGCCTTCTGTATAGCCCCTGTGTGCTAGTCAGGTCCAACTCAAATAGATGCAAGCATTGTAACAGTCTGCTAAGCAATATTTGTTGTTCCTCGGTTGTAAATTAAGTTCTTGCCCTGAACAGCCTGCTGCCTTGATAGTTTCCTTGAGGGTGATGACTGCCTGGCAGAAGCTATTAAAATCAAACTAGAGAGTAAGAAACAAACATGCAATCCAGCAAAGGTCATGAAGATGGTTGTTTTAACCACACCAACAACTGGCAAAGGAACTATGCAAATTTTCAAGCCAATTTAAAAGAAATTATTTAACATACTGAAAATGATTAAAGGATTGCAGCACCTGTAAATGAGGCTGAGAGACCTGGGATTGTCAGCCTGGAGGAGAAGGCCTGGGGAGGGATCTTATCAATGGGTATAAATACCCGTAGGGGAAAAGTAAAGAGGATGGAGCCAGGTTCTCAGTGGTGCCCGGTGGCAGGACAAGAGGCAATGGGCACACACTGAAACATGGGAAATTTTGTTTAAACATAAGAAAAGCTTTTTTTTTACTGTGAGAATTGTTGAATACTGATACAGTTTGTCCAGAGGCTGTAGAGTCTCCATCCTTGGTGATCTTCAAAACCTGATCGGATACAGTCCCAGGCAAGCTGCTCTACTTGACCCTGCCGTGAGTGAGGCAATTGGGCTAGACAATCTCCAGAGGCTCCTCCTGACCTTAACTGTTCTGTGATTAGAAAAGAATGGCTTTCTAAAGGAGTTTAACTGGGGGGGTTTAGGGTCTTTTATCAAAAGATGAACATTTTCTCAATAAAAATGAAATTATTGTCCAGAGTGGTGTTGAGCGACAGGTAACACAATGTAATTGTAATGAATTAGCGTTTCAATGACCTAATGAAGTTAAATACAACCTAATCTGCTCCAGTGTTCCTTAGAAGAAAAGACAGCAAAGGGAAGAGGGATGCCCAGGTGCCCTCTTGAAGCTATTTGGGCTTTCAGCAACTGCTGGTGGTTCTGAGACCTTTGCTTTCCCCGTCTTCCTGGCATGCTCCAGCTCTCTTGGTTGCTCCTGCTGCACCTGTGTCCACTCTGAAAGCAGCCACCGTGAGCTGCGGTGTGCTTAACGGGAGCCACGTGGCCAAAGCAGCTTGGCACTGCATGCACCAGCTTGCTTCTTTTTCTCCCTTTGAATATGTGCATCTTAAAAGAGCTCAAATATGGAGAGGAAGTGGCTCCTGAGGCTCTTCAAGGTCAAGAGGTAAGGAATTCTGCATTTGCTGTTAGGTAGTAAAACAAAAGCAGGGATTGGAATGTGACTTTTCTCTTGCCCCCCCTCCACCCATCTGCTCCAGCTCCACCCATTGCTTTCTTCCTTCTCTGGGTTTAAATAGTTGATTTAGAGAAACCTTGGTATGATATGATGATACTGCCCATTCTCACAGCTTTGATGAACTCATGGTTTGGTTAGGAAGATCAGGAGTGCCTAAAGTTAAAGGGGTGCTCTGCTAGGTCTCTAGTGGGGAAATGAAAAACACAACTTGTTCAGAAGCTCTGCTTCCCCCAAGCAAGATAGTAATATCTCCAGTGTTGCTGGTAATGTCTGGTGTGGTGCAATATCTCCAGTGTTACTGGTAATATCTGGGGGGAGGGGAGGGGGTAGTGTGTATATGTCCCTCAGGCCTGGGATAACCAGGGTTAGAGCCAGGCCAGGCAGTGGTATTGTGGTGCAGCAATTTGTGAAGCCACACCAGGGATATTGTGCATGCTGGTTCAAGAGACAGGAGGGTGGTGAGCAAGCGTTGTGTTGCAGGCTGGGCTGGTTGTGCCAGGTTTCCTGGACATTTGTATACCTTGCAGCCACTGCAGGTCCCAGGCTTACTAAGCATGCAGCGGTGACAAAAGGCAGGTGTGTGGCAGCGTGTGCTAGATGCCTCTAGCACAGACATAGGGACTACATGCGCTGGGGTTGCTCTCAACAACCACAGCTTCTTTTGAGATTGGTAACGAGTCAAAGCTGCAGCCAGAGAAGTGATAAGTGATGGATGTGAAGTGGTTGGTTTGGCTTTTCCTTGTCAACTGTTTGATTCATCATCAAACTTCTTCAGTGACCAAAAGCCAGAGTTGCCCAAACTCTGAGACACCAGGTGGCTGGGAGATCTCCACATCTCCCAGGAGGTTTTCTTGCTAGCTGGGCTGCAGCAGTGCAAGGCTAATGTTTTTAAATCACACGGTTTGTATTTTGTTTTGTGAAACCGGATCACAGCGATTTCAATCTAAAAGGTGGGACACAGTGTCTCTCCCTGATGCATCCTAATCCTTGCCCTGGTGTGGTGGGCATTTGTGCGTGTTGGATCAGGTCTCTGTAAGTCCCAAACTAAATCTCAAGTATGGTTTGGTTTGGTTTGGTTTTTTCCTTCTAAAACCTTTTGTCACAGATGTTGTTGCTGTGGTCCTCTAGTCAGCCTCTCCCTCCATTTGCTTTAGCATTTGCTCTGCAGACTTGTTCAAAAGCAACCTCGCCCAGTTTGCTGGGTCATCATTGAGCAGGAAAATGCTTGCTGGTCTTTAACAATTCTTTGCTCCAGATCTCTATTCCCTATCTAATGCTTGTTACTCTTGAAAATCTTTGCATTGCCTGTGCCTTTGGTGGATTTCTAGGACTCAAAATTGGATATCGAGATGGAGTGCAGGGGGTGGGGGGAAGGGAATTGAGGGTATAGGCTCTGGGCTCTCCCTAGCTGCAGCTTGATTAAGCTGCTCTGTTACAATAAATCCAAAATACTCTTTCTTCTGGACATTCTTAATGGCTCACATGTTACTTCAAGGTATGAAGGCAGGAGAGTTACTTGTGTCTGTCTCAGACTGTGTCTTAGGCTTTGCAATTGTTCAAATGTGCAGTTTGGGGTCAGGGGTGGAAATTGTGTGGGTGGTTCTGGAGTTTTTTTCTGTTTATTCCTCAGCCTGCTTCTGGTGACGGGCAAGTCTCTACCTGATTGACAGAATCAAGGCACAGTCAAAATCTCTTGTTGCAGTCAGAGTGAACCATGACGGTGTTTTACCTGTTCTGCACCTCCTGAGTGTTTTCCTCCCTAAGTAAATATGCTCTCCTGAACTTGTGTCGGACAGTGCTGGTGTGAAGCAGTGGCTTCTTCTGAGTAACCTTCAGTGTAAGCAGTGTGAGTAGCAAGTCTCTTCCTGGAATTCCTAGGTTACGATGAGCATCCTTGGCTATCTCATGAGCTTTTTAATGATAACTGTGAGGGTGCAAATCTACCCAATATGTGACTTATTCATTAGGAGTGGAGAGGGCTGCTGCTGAGGTCCACCTTCACTGCTTTGTCCCTCCTGCTTTAGGTAACACCTTGTTGAAAAATGGGGGAAAACCAAAGCAGCAAGGGAATCACTTTGAGAAGCTGAGTTAGTCTTCTAGCCATGACAGAGCATCCCAACTGTCCTGACCTTGGTCTGCAGTTGTAGAAAAGTTCAGTTGCCTGGCAGTTTGTTTATTTATTTCAAATTCATAACATCAGCACACACAGGGCATAACACATGACTTCTCTGGGACAGCAAGTCTTTTGCAAGATATTTATTTTAGGCTTCTGCTGAACACATGAATAAACCAGCAAAAGAAAGAAATTACAATTATGACAATGATGAGGTCAATCAGAGAGAGAAAATTGTCTTGAGAGCACTCACTTAAGTGAAACTGTCACTTGTGACAACTGTGTACATTCACGGACACAGCGGGATGCAATCGATTAATGGCTCCTTCAGCTCAACGGGAGGTGGAGAAGCAGCTGCCTTTGACTTTTTAGCCTTCTTGCACACCAATGCTTTCCACCGGGGAGTGGTAAACGGGAATACTCTGACCATCCCTCAGTTTCAAGGTGACATCCTGAAGGCACCAGCTGACACAAACCAAAAGAGATTTTTAACTTTTTTCAATCACTTTTAATATAGTAGTAAAGTCAGTGTAGAAACAGCTGGCACGGAGAAACAAATCATTCCATGCATTCATTGCCTTTAAAAATTCTCTCAAGTGTTTTAGAACTTGGTTTGCAAGTGCCAGCTTCTGAAAGCTGTTTTCCCTAATAGCATAGCACAGTCCAGATTTAAAGGTCTGGGATGCGTGTTCCTATTTGTTGCAACTCAAATAAAATCCTGCCAGCTATTTTTAGATAGGACATTCCTCCCCTAACCCAGTGCCTTTCTTCCTCTCCGTCCTGCTGGTGCATTCCTTGCTCTGCTCCTCTCCAGCCTTGGAGCCAGGCTGTGTTGCTAAGGAATTATCCTGGCTTGGAGGAGTTTGAACACTGTGTGATCGCTCAATGTGACTGCTGAAACCCTGACAGGGTACGACAGTAGTTACTCAAAAGAGAAGGAAAACTGCGTTTGTTGGAGACTGAGGGGAAGCTTTTTCCTTCCTCTAAGCTCTGCTTCAAACCCACTTCTGTGAGACTGCTCACGCTGCTTTTCCAGCTGGGAAGGACTATTATTTTGGGGTACTAAGACAGGATTTTTTCAAAAGCTCCTGGCGCTCATCAAGCTCTGCTTTTGCTGGAGTCGGTGCTGAGTACATACAATTAGGTAATTCGGCTGCCACACCTCTGTGCAATGGGTCTGTGGCAGGGGTCTTCACTCGCCAGCCCTCTGCCTCCGTCCGACCTGGGACGAGTAACTGCCTCATTTGTAACAGGGCTTGAAGGAGCAACTGCTTGCTCCCCTCAGCGTGGCCCAGGGTCTCAGCCCTTCCCTCCACTCGCTTCGGGGCAGGCAAGCGTCAGTTTGCAGGACTGGTGCCTTGGTCGCCCTTGTCTCCAGGTGCCCTCGCCATCCCTACACTGCCTGCGCCTGAGTGAATGCCTCCTCCTCCAGGTCCGAACCAACTCATGAACCCAGATTTCAGTTTTTTTCAGTTGCCCTCCTTTTTTAATAACCACATAAATAAATAAACCACTATGGACAGACTGCATGCTCAGAGTCTGAAGCATTTCAGTGGCTTAGCAGCCTCAACTACTCTTGCACAGAGCGCTCACCTCCTGGTGTCATTTCACTGTGTCTGTAGTGGTCTGGTTGCCTCCCCAGTGTCCACTGGAAATGCCCACATGCACACTCTGCAGAGCCCCACCAGAATGGCCTGCTTACATGTTTGTTATTCCTGTTGGGGACTTCAGGAGCTCCTCTTCACAGAGCAGATGGAATGAGCCATTTCACTCTTACTTAGTTCCTCAGCCAGGTGCAAGGACACCAAGTCCTGTCTAGCCCCAAGTGCAGCTGTCCACAGAACCCCGCATGTAGGTGGAGATGGTTGAGTCTGCCACAAACCCTTTTACAGAAGATGCTTTTTTTTTTTTCTCTTGTGCTTGCAGAAATGCATGGAGAACTCATTTTAAAAACAAAATTCTGAGAGATATGTATGCACTTCAGTTACTGCCGTAGCTTAACATCTTGCAATCTTCAGTTATCCTCAGAGTAACCCAGTGAAATGGGAGGGAAAATGTTACTTCCCTCCATCTGTGAGGAGGGGATAAGGAGGAGTGAGAAGATCAGAGCCCAGGCCCCCAGGGAAGCGTATGTGTACAAGAAAGGTGGCTGGGGACCTCTGGGGATATCTCTGGTCGCTAGGGAGGAGACCAGGCCTGGCCCTGAGTCTCTCAAGTCCCAGCCTAGTGCCTCCCTCCCATCATTTTACACCTTCCTTCCCACAGTTATTCAGAAGAGAAATCCAGTAAGTCGTGCTCACCTAATTATGAAAAGAAAACATTACCATATGGCTAGTGGCAGCTGAGAAAAAATGTTGTAGCTTTGGGTTTCTAGATAGAGATAACAGAAGTGCCTAACAAACGCCCAAGAACAAATACATGTGAGGAGGTTTCCATCTAGTGAAATTTCCTCTTTTGCAATGGAAGGTGGACTTTGAATTCATGTAATAATTCTTTGCTTAGCTCTACAAAACAGTTTACCCTTGACAAGGGAGGTTTTCAAGCTTCAGTACTACAAAAATGTAAAATCTCCACTACATGATGTAGAGCCAGAGCATCCTTCTACTGTAATATATCTGTCCTAGCACTTTTTTTTAAATTATAAAGACTGTGTTTATTGGATAGCTTGAAAAAAATCCTGCATAATTTTTAGCTCACCTTGATAGGCTCTGAGGTAATGTGTAAGAATTTCCCCTACTGCAATACATAATACTAGACTGTAGTTAGGACTGCTGTTCAATGGCCTTGCACCTTCCTGGGGAGAAGGGGTGGGAGGGGACAATACCTTGGCTCACAGTATTTGTATAAATACTGAGCTGTAGTTTGCAGAACACATTTCACACAAATTAATGGCTCATGTTGTTCTGTTTGTATTCATAGGGATGAATTCAATAGATTTCTCAAGTGATTTACATTTTTTGTCATAATGACGGTAATAACCTTTCACAAGACCTTCAGACATGAATTTCCTCTTCCTTTGTGTGTATGATCTCAGCAGCATGGATTACTAACGCAAATACCCTGCTCCACTCTTTTCTCCTGCCACTTCTCTCCCTGCGTCTATATATTTCTCCCAGCACCTCCCCCAGTACGCACCATTGACGGGAGTGGTCCATCTCTGAGTTAATGTAGAGGTACCCCGCTGACTTTGTTCCAGATACCGGTAACTTTATCTGCAGATGTAAAAGTATGTTAAAGATTCAGTGAAGCATGTTACTGAAATGGACATGTACTGCTTCTACAGTCAAAGACACAAACCGTCCCTTTTAACTTAAACTAATTTTATTTTTTTAACATATTTCAGAGTTTTACTAAGCTTTTCTAACGGCTAAGGTGTGCGTGGCTATACAAGTATGCCTGTTCTGCCATACATTAATCTCTCTCTGCTGAAAGAATGTACTGTGTTACAGCTGCAAGCCCCAGGGAAAACCACTCGCTCTCTGAATTATTTATGAGCAAACACCTTTCCTTACCAGAATGCATGGTGATCCAGAGGTGGCCTGCACTGTGCTAGAACTTCCCATAACCTTAACAAGCCTGTAGGTTGAGATCCTCTATAGATCAGTCCATTAACATGCATCAAGGCAATGAGATGTTCAATGATTTTTGTCAGTGTCACAAATTCTTCCACTCAGTTGTTTATTAAACAAAGCTAGGAGCTGCAGCACTGACCACAGCTAATTGCACTCGGTCTAAAATTTGAATAAAAGAAATGTTTCACGTGTAGTGTTTGCTGGTGGTATTGCAATCACAAAGGGAAAATGCCAGGGGTTCTCCAACAGGCCCAGGAGCTGACAATGTTGTGGAGCCAGTAAACTGATCTATGATATAATCATTAATGATGATTAACTAGTTTATTTCATGAGAATATGAATGCTCAGGAGCATGAAAAAGCAGAGAAGAAAGTTGGTGGTTTGTGTCCTGGGTGAGGTCGGCAGAAGGCAGGGGTTGACTTCACCCTGAGTCACCTGAGCAACCAGCATTCTTAAACAGTGACACAGGAACATATCGGTGGGACAGGTTCTCTTCTTATTTTCAATCAGCATAAGAGGTTGTGCGTTTTCCCCACATTTTTGTCTTTGGATATGTTGCCTGGTTAAATCTGTAAAACCAGGGAAATGTTTTGGTCTATGGTGTTGCATGGGTGACGCAGCAAGACAGAAAGTAGAATTTTATGTGAGCTGGTTGAAGGTCGATTTTTTTCTTGCCCTGACAGCCTCTCTCCTTCACTGCACCATCTGCTCGATTCCTTACTGCCCTTGCTTGATCCCTAGAACTCAAAACTAGTCACCAGGAGGGACAAAATGATTCAAATTTGATGACATCCCTCAGTGAGTTGCCTGGAGAGGTCTCTAGGGACATTTTGCATCACTAGCAAAACCAGGGAAGGGCAGCCAGTCCTGGATTAAGGGGTAAAAACACTGATGGAAAGTCCTTTTCAGGCAGCAACCCAGAATGGAAGTGGACTTGTGTTTGCAAGGTTTGCTTTGGCCCAGCCCTGGGCTGATGCAAGGCAGCCTTGTGCAACACTTCAGCACCCAGCGCAGCATTCTCCAGTCACTACGTAACCCCAGCGCTCAGCTCCGCACCCAGCAGCTGTCCTCCATGGGACAGACTTACAGGTGCTTTTAAAAATGACACCATTTGTGCTGTACCACAGCATAGCTCATAAGCAGCTATAAAACTCTGTTCTGGACAAAGCTTTAAAAATTAGCATGGGATGTATCCAGGGGGGAGAGGGAGGCAACTGCTATTTTAAAACTGGATCTGATACGTTTCTGAAAATGCTTTTGTGGTTTATGGTAGCAGGAGGGGGACCGACTGGCTTGGGAGGTCCCTCGGCATTCTGTGACGTGCCCATATAGCACAACACAAAGATGCTGCTCTTGCTGCTTCTAGTCCCTCACATTAGAGCATAGATTTATGCTCTGGAAACCCGTTCCTCTTTCAAATCAACTGGCATCCCATCCTACTGCCTTCCAGTGCCCCCCGGTGACTCGTGACCTCCTGAAAATCCCCCGGCTGATCTCTCGTCACCGGACGCCTTGGGAAGCCACCCTGTGACACCACCTCCCCAGCATTACCTGTGCTCTTTCTGTGTCCACGCGATTACTCCCATCTGTCAGTCGGATGTTGTGAACCTTAAGAGGGGGGGCACCCAGGGCTTCCAGGGCATCAGGATTGCTGTTCAGTTGCTCCAAAGCCTGCTGGTAATACTGGGTCCTGGCAAAACTTTCTAGGTGATAGAAACGGGGTAGTGAGGAGACTCCTCACTTAAAATCAAAACATAAGTAAAAAAAGAAAAAGACATTTCCTCCAGGCTACCACACCCTCCCTGAAAAACAGTCCAAACTATTAATTAGGAGAAATCTGGCTAAAGGAGGAAATACACCCTTACATCACAGCAGCAGTGCTGAACTGTAATGTTATTCAGCTCATTTAAGTGAAGAGGGCTCTGAATATAGCTTATTCCATACTGATATACAGTTCAGCCTATGGCTGTGTCTCCCTGCTTTTCATATGTTTGTATGTCATCTAAAAGGAACAAAAAAAGAAGGAGAAAAAAAAAAAAACATAAGGAGGAATACCTGAAAATGTTCTGAAAGTAATTAAATTTATTTTTTTTTAAAGGAGGTACAGAAAATACTTTAAGAATGGACAATATTTCACAGACATTGGTGTGAGACAGGAACAGCTGCTGCTGCCGTGAAACTCTTGCTGTGGTCTTGGTACAGCTTTTCAAGTGGCAGCCATGAAGCTGCAACTCTACTGATGGATGCATTAAAAGGGAGGCACAAAGAAGTGCCATTAGAGTTAATGGTCAAGCAGCAACAATAGCACAGTAGCCTGGATGCTGCAGTGTTGGCATATGGAGGACAATTGTGGTAAATCGCTATTTATCAATGTCTGGTTGCTATGTATAGCTGGGCAATGCTGTGCAGTGGTCACTAATGGACAATGCAGAGCTGTGAGGCTGGAAACGTGCCGACCCTCCTTATGGAAGCAGAGATTTGCTTATAAACAGTTTTAAGGCTTGCCTGCTGGGATTTCTAGATGTGCTTCATGCCAGCCTAACTTCACTCTCTTGACATCAAGAAGGGCCGAGTTAAATTAAGAGTGTGCACGTGTGAAAATCCTAATCTGGCAATTTTACTCTCGCCTTCCAAGGAGTTTAAAACAAGGTGTAAGGTTACCTGATCTCTTGCCTGTCAGTATTACTCTTAGAGCGTGAGGCAGAAGGATGCTGCCCCCTCTCCCTAATTATAGTCATCCCCTGTGAGCAGGCAGCATCCAGTTGGCATAGAAACAGCTTTGCTAGGCTGCAGCCTGCGCTGGTCCTCCCCTGCCCCCTGGGCCACCCTAGGGAGCTCCAGCAAAAGGGGTTGCAGCGTGCCAGCCCTTTAGTGCCTACAGATCATGTTAAAAGTATGTTGTGCTCATCCTGCAGGTTGGAGGGGAAACAGGTTCGAGTTTCCTAGTGGTCCTTCTCAGCTGTTCCTTGTTAGCATCTTGTGTATTGGACATAAAATGGCAGAATAATCCATTTGTCCATGCATTTGCAGTAGGAGTGCTGAAAGGATGCTGGGGTTGGCTGGGGCAACTGCTCCTGTGAGGAGGGTGTGGAGGTAAAGAGAATGAGTAGAAATAGAATTACCTGAGTGTTTGTTCAAGCTTTCACAGAGCCCACATGCATGCAAACTTCCCTTCAGCCTGAAGGAAGGGGAGGGAAGCACCCCTCTCCCCCTGCTCCCACCACTATGGAAGCCACTTGCTCCTCCCAGGTCCCAGTATGGGCCAGTTTTGTGCACTGGGCAGAAGGAACTGGGATAGCCCTGGGCGTGGGCCAAGGGAGGGAGGGTGCCAGTGTGGCTTCCCTGTCTGTTGGAGGCTACAGAAGGACACACTCTGCAGCAGAAAGTGTCCTTTCAACAGCCCAGTTGGCTTGTCACCGAGTTACCAGACAGCTACTCAGTGGCCACTGATATTGCAACACAGCAAGAAGCAGTCATCGCATTGTGCCACTTGACTGCACAGCTAAGTGATGCGGGCAACGAGCCCTTTGACTTTCTGTATAGCACAGGGGTTGACTTTTTTTCCCCCCAGAGATTTCTAGATAACAATGCTGAAGATGAAAATTAAAAAATGCTAATGTCCTTGTTAAAACTAGATTCAATATTTTAAAGCATAAGAGGATCATATATCTGTCATGTACTCCAGAGCTTGAGGGCATGAGCTGCCTAAAATTAAAGCCTGCTTTCCAGCCTTGTCTGATTTGTTATTAATACATGTAAAATGAAGGGGAGGATTCAGAGCTTATCTGAGGGCTTGAGGAACAGGCTTGGCTATGCTTTTCTGGCAGCATCCTCCAATATACGGGTAGGTGAAAAGCAGTATCATTTGATAGCACCAGCAAGGGAGAGGCATAGGGCCAAGAGGCCTATAGCAACCCCCAAGAGAGGCAAAGCCTATTTCTGGTCTGATGCTAAATATCTAGAAACAATTTTAGAAGAAACAAACATCTATCATTTGGACTAATAATTTGGATTCTTGGCCAAAGACATGTAGCAACTAGAGCTGCCTGTAACAGCAACATCACCTGTCTAGCTTTTCTCTCCTTGTTCTGGTCTTCTCAGCGCTGAGTGCTCTTATCTGCCCTTCATTCAGGAGAAACTAATGATGTCTTAGCACTTCATAGGCACGTTGTGTTTAAGGGCCAGCACCACAGAGAGATTTACAGATAAAACCGCTAGACATTAAGACCTTCTCACAGATGGTCCTCTTTTCCTGCCCAGTTGTAAATCTCAGTAAGAAACCAAACCTGCATTACTGCCTAAGCTTTCACTTTCCCCTCACCCTCAGGAAACCCCCCAGAAACCAGACTTTCTCCTGACCACAGCAGCCTGCTCCCTTTGTAATACCCACCTCTGGAAATGCGTGCAGCAGCACTTGGGAGAGCAGCAGCCCTGGGGCTAAACAAAGCAGAGCCCACGGAGGCAGAACCCAGAGGCTCAGCCACACTTCCCTTAACTTCATCTGCTTTTCACATCTTGCATGCTGCTATTTTCCCCGCTACACAAAAGCAAATGAAAGGGGCAGAGGAGAAATAAGGTTGCTAACAGCACCAAGACTTACTTTGCATAAGATTATACATCACGATGCATCCCCCACCGCTGAACAGTCCCATGAAAACAGCCATTTGCTGCAGTTTTCTTAGAGAAGCTGGCATTTTTCCTCCCTGAAAAGAAAAAGGGAAGACATTTGTTGTGAAAGAAGAAAGCTAAAGGGTTATTTCCCCCCTCCTCCTCTTTCCTAAAAGCCTTTTCCAACCAGGCCTGAATGAAAGCACAGTGCAGAGGCATGGGGCTCTTGCTTACTGGGGCCCCACCACGCACCCAGAAGGAAGGGTGGTGAGAACAGAGCAAACCGGGGACCCAGCTGGGTTGAATGTGTTTATTCAACTTCTTTTAGCGATGCCACCACTTCGCTAATTGCCGAGAAGAAAATGACCTCCCCAGTGTGGCCGGGGGCCAGCGCTGCGGCACATTGTCACGGGGTTCCCGGTGCCTGTGCACTCGCTCGCACACTGCGAGCATTCAGGCTCCGGGGGCTGGATTTCTCTCTCGAGTAAACTTCTCTAAAGTAAACACGCTCGCGGCAGGGCTGGATTTGGCCTGGAGTGGTAAGGGACAGAGCCAAGCCAGCCCTGTGCCTGCAAAGATAATGGAGCCAGGGTGTGTGTATTCTGTTGTGTTGGTTTTTTCCCAAGCCGTGGATAAACAGAAAAGTTCTTGCAAGCTATTTTTCTTCCTTCCTGCACCCCCCCGAGCCCAAGCTTGCCCTTTTAATGAGTCACAATTTTGGCATTTGAATGAATGACCTAGCAGAATAAGAACACCTCTGAGAAAGTCAATCTACTGAACGCTTCCACGGTTTGGGTAAGAAGGGGACTGTGTGGCCTGAAGAGTCGGAGCTAATGCTCCTGCCCACAGCAGGTTAGTAGGAGTCAAGCTGAGTTAGTAGGAGAGTAGCACATTGCTTCAGGCTGTGGCAGGATGGGACTTGACTGAGCATCCAAGTATCGGCTTATGCTTTTGCTTCTCTCGCAGCTGGGATGGTAGGAAGGAATGATTTTGAAAGAAAAAAAAAAGAAGAAAGATTAGCAAAAGGCTGCACTTTTTGATGTAGGCACATAGACATCTCAATACTTGGGGAAGCTGTACGGGATTTCTAATCCCAAAGGCTTCACACCTCGATCCACGTGCCACGATGGTGTGACTTAAGTGTTACGCTCAGTGAGAGCTGGTTAATAAACCAAGGCCCAAACCAGTTACAGAAATGTGACCTGGGCAAGGCCGTTTGAGTCCTGTTGTGAAAACCACCTCTAGCATCCCTCAGGTATGCATTAGTCAGGTATTGCTTAGCCGGCAACCACAGTTTAGAGAGGGTGGAGAGGCAAATGTCAGGAGTCCTTCCTGTCATGGCCGGGTCAGGGTGACAGGGGCAGCCTCCCTCTGCTCACCGCTCTGCTGACATGCCCGTACGCCATCTCTTGCATCCTCTAGCCCAAGGGAAGCCGTGAATGCAACCCAGGTACAACCTTCATGTACTGCCCTGTCGGCACTAGCTTTCAATCGTAATGCATGCTATCCCTTAGTCCAAGGCTTTGCTTGTTAACTAGTTGCCTTGATGTTAAGAGTTCTTAATATTTAAGTTTACTGTTTTATTTACTTCAGATTTATGGATGGCTAGTAATGGTAGAAACCCTGAGAAGCACATGGGTATTATGTCTCTTTTATGTCCCCCAAATCCCCAGATTGGGCCACGGGTACAGTCAGTCATCATCTCTCTCACTCCTGATCTGTTTCTGACAAGTTTTCTTCTTCACTTCCCCTGGGCAACTTAAGCGGCGTGAGAAATTGCAGCAGAGGAAGTACAAGTGTAATTTTACAGAGAAATTGTGGCAGTCGTCTCACAAGGACAGTGAGAGCTTTCTGCTCACCCGCTTGTGTTTGCAACTTACCTTAAATCACAATTTATAACATTACCTCCCCCCCCAAAACTGCAAAATCTGATTAAAAACCAAGTTTTCCATTAGATCCGTCAGGCCAGGAGGAGGATCTGACACCAACACCACATAACAGAGAGAAAAAAAAAAAAGGTGGTAAATCTGGAGAGTGGATCAGATGATGTAATAGGCTGTGACCCACAGCATTTAGTTTTGCCCCTTTCAAAGTTGCAGCCAGGCAAAATTTGCTTTCTGTGATGAAATTCAGGGTAATTGAATGCAAATGTCTGGGGGTGGGGGGTGCTGCCAGCAGTTTGCTGAGTAAAAGTGGGAAGACGCAGAGCTCTTGCACCAGTGAGGAGATTTTGACTGAGGCTCAGGGCACCTGCCTAGCAAAGGGCAGAAATTAGAGGCTCTGCAACTCACTCTCAGCGGGTTTGAGGTTTGTTAGGTCTCACGGTCTGCTCGCACCCAAACAAGGGGGATGGAAAGTAAGAGGAGCTTCATGCTGATCGGTCATGTGCTCACACACATTTTCATCAGCACCTCTGCTCGCAGCAGGTCAGTGGCTGCAAGTGCCCTGATGGTGCTGTGCCAAGACAGTGTCATCTGGCAAGGGAGCTTGGCAGCTGAGAAACGGTGATCCCGGTAAGCACTGCTGCTCCATGCAGCACTCCCGGCTGCTCCTGATGTGCCGCCCCTGCCTGCAGCCGTTGCCCATTGCTGGTCCTGGTGAGGCAGGGATGGGGGGTGCCGAAGTGCACCCAAGTTATGCAGCCTGCACCAGCTCTGCAAAAGTCTTCATTGCCATAACAGGGAGAATATCTCCATTGCTTGCTTTCAGTCGCAGTGGGAAGCCCGCAGGCTGGACCACCCCATCCCCAGGCTAGCCCTTGATGCTCTCCTCCCACTTGTTTCTCAGCTGTTTTCCCAAGTCAGTCCTATGACAGCATGTTGCAGGAAGAGGTTCAGAGCTACGCATTCTAACAAGCCTCTTAAGACCTTGCAAACCTTCTCTTTGAACCCACAATCCCCTGTTAGCTTCCAAAAGCAAGGACAGAGGTGTCCTTGGAGCCCAGTGCATCCCTCACAGGGGGTCTGCTGCTCCCCTTCCCTGCCATGATTGTCCCTTGCGGCATGGATGTCTAGACGTTGCTTCCAAATCCTTGAGCATCCTGCTCAAACATGCAGCTGCTGAAGACTTCTGAATGATGACACTGGAGATACTAATGGTGTCAGCTTGTGGAAGACCGAAACATAGTAAGGAGCTGTTGTCTGCAAGGACTCATCACTAGAATTTCTGCCCTCTGGCCAACCATCTTTGCTGCTCCCATCTGCTGCTCCACTGAAGTGCCATGGAGGTGGCTCACTAGGGAAGGGAAGCAGAGACATGCTCAAAGGCGTGCCTCCTGTCCTGAGCCTTTCTGAAAATTACTTAGAGCCTGCAAAGCATAGAAGCTATTAAAGGGAAGGACCAAACCCCCTCGACTTAATTCACCACAAAGGGAGTAACTGTAAGACAATGAATTTAGAAGAATTTTATAGATACAATGTGCAATTGCCTCCTAAGGAGGGAAGATCACATTGCTATCTGTGGCGGAGATCTCCCCTCAGAACCTGTTATACCACTAAAAAGTATGCAAGTCAACTGGTGGAAAAACAGATTTCTTCACAGCTGGTAATTAAAAAAAGCACAATTTCCAAGCTACGCTGTTCTGCAAAAACATCTTTTCCCCCATGGTATTTGCAGAGGTAAGAAAGATTAGGTGGAGATTAGCACACACAAAAACACTGAGCCTACAGTTACCAAAAGAACAGACATTAAATTGTTATAAGTAGTGTTCTCTAAAAATAAATATTAAAGAGCAGAGCTTCCCAATAAGGGCGATGGTCATTTGGTGCCTTGAACATAGTAAGATATGGTGAAGAAGGTAGTATTCAAGCTTGACTTTGAAACTAAGCAGGACTCAGGCAGTTAACAACAAGATTTAACAAACCCAGAGAGGTGGAAGACTCTCAGGGTCACATGTGAAATGGTGGGTTACTGCAACAATAAAGTCTGTTTTTAATTAGACTTTGTTTTCTCCACAGAGGATCTTCTAAAAATAGGCTGGGCTTAAGAGATCCTCCGTTATTTCAGCAAATTCAGATTTTCTGGTTTGGTCTCTGAAATTCATGTGCAGACATTGGTCTCGGGCACCTTCACCAAAAGCAGGTAGCGGTGAAGCAAGGGCATTTTCATCAAGCCACAAACATTCACTTTACTTGCCTCAGACCTGAGTGAGGGAGCTGGGGCTGCAGGTTCTTTGGAGAAGGCATTTCTTCCTCCTTCTCCTCTTCCTTCTCCTCCCCCTGGCACTACCTCCAGCTTCTGAGTGCTATTGCAGACCAAACAGTAACCGATAATATTGCTCTGAAATCAGAGAGAAGCAACTCGATCCATGCAAATTCAGTGTGATCATTGCTGGCTATCTCAATTTGGGCCACTGCCTACACACCTGGCCAAGACAATATACTGCCAGGCCACCAATACAAGCAGCTGGGAGCCTTTAAACCACTTTGAACCAGTGTAGTCCTGAGGTGTCAGCATGACACACTAAGTATGTGTGGCAAAAGACTATTCTTAAATTAAATTTAAACTTATCAATAGGCCTGAACACAGACCTGAGCATCTAACTTCAAGGCTGGAACTGCTGCCTAACCCTTCTGCAATGAAATTCTCCCTTGGGCTGGTGGGATTTGAGTCGGCCCCAGGTCCAGCTTTTCTGCAAGCCACCCGAGTAGTCATGGAAGTCACAGGAGATGAGGGTAATGTCAAGCAAGCCACATGCAAGCACACGCACACACTTGTATTTCACATTCTTGCTCCCTTGCCCATCCATTGATCTTTTAAGATCCATAAGGCATCTGGGTGTGAGCCAATTTCTATATGAATAACATGCCAGGACAACAATTTAGAGACAGCTTCTTGACACTCACTGTCTACAAAATACCTTCATCATTGGTACTGTCACCAAAGAGAGGACAGTACAGCAGAAGTGTTTCAACAGGATCGTCATTTCTGCATATTATTTTCCCCTTTTTCACAGAAATAGTCTCAACTTATTATTTACCTCATTTCTGAGAAGTAACAGCACAAATTGTGCCTCCTGACAGCATTTTCAGAAATACCAAGCCTTTGCGTGTCTGATCTGCCTTCACCAAAAGCTCAGCAACTTGTAGAAAATAAG